GTGTTCCTTGTATGTTTTGGTGATCGGCCCTCTGTCAGATGTGGGGTTGGTAATATCTTTTCCCATTCTGTGGGCTGGCATTGTATCTTGCTGACTGTTTCCTTTGCCTTACAGAAGCTTCTTAGTTTCCGGAGGTCCCATTTTTTAATTGTCGATCTCAATATTTGTGCAACTGTGTCCCGCGCTAACCGCCTCGCCAGCAAAAACGACACGGGGACACTCCTCAGGATCCTTCTGCAGTAAAGCTTTAATGCCTCTTGAGAGGAAAGGCATTAGCTTACAAAATGGAGACCCTGAACGCCCGAAAACCCCTCCTTATATAGGCTGGCAACCGTCGCCTCAGGAGTGTTACATTCTGACTGGCTGAAACCCTCGGACCATGTGACATCAGCTGATCGAACCATATGACGTCATGGGAGGGGCGGAGACTAAGGGCAGGAAAGTTACACAGCTTCACATTTCACATGCGCACAGCTTCCAATGGCTCCTTACATACGCACCGGCTCCTAACACTACTGATGTTATGTTCAGATAGCAGTCTACTTACTAATTTATTCAAGGGTATCACCTAATTCTCTTCTAGGATGTTCAGTGTGGCTGAATTTATGTTGAGGTCTTTGATTCATTTGGATTTATGTTTTGTGCTTGGCAATAGATATGGATGTATCTGCAATCTTCTACCTGTCAGAATCCATTTGTACCAACACCATTTGCGGAAGATGTTGTCTTTTTTCCATTGTATAACTTTACCTTCTTTGTAGTTATCTTTGTTGTGTTGGAGTTTTCCTTCCAGTAGTTTCTGTAGGGCTGGATTAGTGGATATGTATTGCTTAAATATAATTTTGTCATGGAATATTTGTTTTCACCATCAATAGTGATTGAAAGCTTTGATGGATACAGTAGTCTGGGCTGGCATCCATGTTCCCTTAGCATTTGTAGAACATCTATCCAGGATCTTCTGGCTTTCAAAGTTTCAATTGAGAAGTCTGATGTAATTCAGATAAGTCTGCCTTTATATGTTACTTGGCATTTTCCTTTGCTGCTCTTAATATCCTTTCTTTATTCTGTAAGTTTGCTATTTTGATTATTCTATGGCAAGGGGACTTCCTTTGTGTTCCAATCTATTTGGTGTTTTGTAAGCTTCTTGTACTTTCATAGGCATATCCTTCTGTATGTTGGGGACATTTTCTTCTACAAGTTTGTTGAATTTTTTTCTGTAACTTTGAGCTGAATTTCTTCTCCTTCTTCCATACCTACTATTCTTAGGTTTTTGTCTTTTCATACCATCCCATATTTCATGGATATTTTGTGTTAGGGACTTGTTGGATTTGAGATTTTCTTGGTGGATGACTGTATATCCTCTATTGAGTCCTCGATGCCCGAGATTTTATCTTCTGTCTCTTGTATTCTATTGGTTATGCTTACATGAAGAGTTCTCTGATCATTTACCTAACTTTTCTATTTCCAGCATCCCATCATTCTGTGTTTTCTTTATTGTTTCTAATTCTGCTTTCAAACCATGAACTGTTTGAATTGTTTCCTTCGCTTGTATTTTTTTTCTTTAGATTATTTAAGAGATTTTTTTCTTTCTTAAATTTTTGGTTTGTGTTTTCCTTCATTTCATTTAATTATTTGCTTGTTTTTCCTCTATTTCTTTAAGGGATTTTCTTTTTTTCCTCTTTAAAGGTCTCTATCATTCCTATAAGATAATTTTGGAGACCCATCTCTTCTTCATCCTCTGCATTTGGCTTTTCAGATCTTGCTGGTGTGTAGTCCTTAGATACTGGTGTTGTCATATTGGTCTTTCTGTTGTTGGGTGTGTTCTTATTCTGTCAACTTCCAATCCCTTCTTCCAGTGGGTGCTGGTTGGGTTTCTCCCTCTCACAGGCAGCAGGTAGAGGGCAGAGGGGGGAGGGTGGACAAGGGTGAGGTGTGTCCAGACTTAATATGGGCCTTCTGTTCTGGGAAGGTACACTCTTATCCAGGGGTAGACTCTGGATGAAGCTAGCAGGGAGTGATGGGGGAGTTTGGGGGCAGGGCAGCAACCAGACTCACCTTAGGTGACAGGAGGAATGCAGAGGGTGTAGGAAGGACCTATAGTTTTATTTTGTGATCATTTTTAATAACAACCATGAGTATGCTCAAAGATATTTTTAAAGAAGACATATTTTGGTTCTGAATGGAATCATATTGATGTTGGTTGAATATTTGTGTTCTATAGTTATTAATATAAAAATTTTCAGCATTATTATTCATTTACTGTTAAAAGTCAGGTTATATATTTTTAAGAATTTAATATTCTGGCATATATAAACATTGGCATGGATTGTGACAATTCTGTCCTGCTCTTAAGCACAAATGCTATCAGAGAGCTCCCGTTGTTTGGGTGCATGGGTATTGTAATAACACTGTGCTCAGAGAAATATGCAGTAGTGTGTCCTATCTCAAATTACTGACACTGTTCAGTTATGCCAAGCAATACTTCTACAATAGCACAAGAATCTAAAATGCCTATGTGCTGTCTACCATCCCAGACCACCTGAACAATTGATTTAATTACACCTAGGCTATGTAAACCTCTAGGCTTGTCAAGTGTGTATATACTTTATCTTGCCCCAATCTGCATTTTGTATGAGTATTAGAAGTTACAAAATTCACCTGCTCAAAATATCAACAAAAGATACCAACGATAGGAAAGATCTAGCAAGTACATTATCTCCAATACCTACCAGTCTGGAAAAAATGTTTTCAAATGAGAATTACCAAATAAAATTCAGGACACAGAATATAAAACAGTATATTCACTTCATAGAGTAACTTACAGGGGTTTAAAGAAGACACAAACAAACAGTTCAATGAATCTAAGAAGAAATTACTCAAGGAGAATAAATACCTTGGTGATGAACAAGTGAACACAAATGTAAGACTGAAATAAATGATACAGACCATCCAACTTGTTCATGGAATTCAATAAGAAAATAGTAAGAGTGAAGAAGACTCAAGGTAAAATGAAAACAGAATTGAAAAGACAAACAGTACAGCTAGAAAAGGAAAGCATTACAAGTCAAATGAATCATACAGAAGGCAGAAAATTTGGATTCAAAGATAAAATAGAGAATAAAAAAAACATAGAAAATTAAAACAGGAAAGGAAATGTTAGGCACTATGAGAAATCCAGAACTTTAAATTATTGGCATAGATGAGGGAGAAGAATTCCAGGTCAACAACTTAGACCAGTTGTTCAACAAGGTCAGTTACATAGATGAAGAGTTCTTGAAACTAAGGAAAAATGCATCCTTACATACAGAATAAGCACAGAGGGCACCAATAGAGATGATCAGAAAAGAAAATCCTTACAGAATATCATAATCCAAATACTAACAATGCAAAACAGTTTTAAATGAATTTTAATTATAATTTTAATAACATAAGAAGTGTTTTGAAAGCTGCGAGAGAAAGAAAAGAAAACAAAACACAAATCAATATAAAGGGACACTAATAATACTAGCAGCACCTCTGCGTGTAAGTTGGGATTTTACTTAGCTTACGTTTTAATTCTTTGGTTCTTTGATGTTTCTATTAACCCATAGCTTTATTTTAATAAATCTTATAATACCAACCAAAACAAGAATACTAGCAGATATCTGAATGGAATCTGTGAGAGTCAGAAAAGCCTAGAAGAAAGCATACCAAGTCCTGAAAACTATAATGGCCATTCTAAAGAGCATTGAGCATATCAGAGATATGGAGGAAAGAATAAGAAAGCATATTGAGTAGAACATAAAGCACCATTGAGGACAAGACAACTCTAAATTCAACAACAAAATGACCACAAATATCAGAAACATCCACAATACCATTGAACAGAAATTGCCTCAATTCATCATTCCAAATCATTATCCAAAGCAGTGGTAAGAGGAAAGTTCATAGCACTAAGTGCCCACCTGAAGAAACTGGAGAAAAGTCACACTAGAGCATTGACAAAACAACTGACAGCTTAAGAGCAAAAATAAGCAAACTCACCACAGAGGAGTAGACACAAGGAAATAATCAAATTGGGGGCT